GGAGAGTGTGGTGCTGACAACACCAAGTCAAGGGTTAAGATCCCCTTACTGGTCATCTTTAAAAACAAAAAAGAGAGAAAGAAAAAAGAAAGGGATAAAAAGCAGCAGAGAAGTGAGTTCTTAGGGTTAATAATCATTCACTCCTTACTCCCTCTCTCAACTCTTCATCAGTTTCCAGCCTGGTGCTTTTAATGCAGATAATTTCAAATCTTATGTTTGTTTCAGGTCGTGCAAATCACCCTAGGATGTCCTTTAGTGAGCAGCAGTGCAAGCAGCCATGTGCACCCCCTCCATGTCTTCAAAAGACCCAAGAGCAGTGCCAGGCTAAGGCTGAGGAGGTGTGCCTCCCCCCATGCCAGGAACCCTGCCAAGAGAAGTGCCCGGTACAAGCTCAGGAGGTATGTGTTCCTCAGTGCCAGGAGCTAAATCAAGAAATCTGCCCACAGCAAGGCCAAGACCCATGCCCACCTCCATGTGTGGAGCCATGCCAGGAGCTATCCCAGACAAAATGTGTGGAGGTTTGCCCACAGAACATCCAGGAGAAGTGCTCACTCCCTGGCAAGGGAAAGTAGCTGGTCATAGGCCATCTGGAGTCAAGAAGATGGCCAACAGATGAAAACCCAACCCAGCCCTTGCTTTGGTGACCTTCTCCTGTGAGTTCCTCTGTGTGCAATGTGCCTTCTTGCTCTTGGCTTCCTCAATATTCCAGGACTTAGTCTGTGTCTCTGAAGACAGTTCTCTCTGTATTTCATCAACCTCTGTGAATATGTATTGTTCTCAGCAGTCCGGTGGAAGATCTCAAATGTAGGAATGGGTGGTTGTCAGAGGAGACCACAGAAGCCTAGCACGGCTCCCTTGGGCAAAAATTCACCTGGCTGTGGATGCCTTCATTCATCTTTCAGAGTGTCAGGCTCTCATTTGAGCCTCAAAACAAACTGAACTCCAATGGACTTTGCTCTTATCACCACCACGGATGTTGAGTGGTGTTTGCAAAAGTTGGTGGTGTTGCAAAAATCAAAAATTGGGTAATTTTGTCTCTGCACTCTAAAAAGAACAGCAAATGATTAAACATTGGAATGTTGGTTGTGCTTTTAAAAAATGAAATAAAAGTATGTAAATGATTGAATCCAAACAACCAACAAGGAAAGACATGATGGGATGTTGGGGTCTTTGTCCATCTTTGTCCTTCATAGCTGGTCTGTTTGGGGCCCTTATTTTTTGTACAGTCTTCAGAGGTGTGCTTTGCATCTGTGTGATGCAAGCTGGTCTGCTCTCCAGCTTCCTTGCCTTCTTCTCCCTGGTGAAGGTAAAATACATAATAAAGCTGATCCTAAGGCTGATATCTGACTTGACGTGTGCTTTTTCCTCTCCACCACCCAACCACCGGCTGTCCTTGCGAGGATTGTAATCTTTTGGGGGAGCAGGGTGGGAATCTAGAATAGGAATAAAAAAGAGAGCCCACAGGTGCATAGAACAGCAATGCTGAAAGAGGCCTCCCTAAGGTCACCTGGACCACCCCACCCACAACACATAGGCTCACCTGTGCACACACTTTACACATGAGAAAATCTAGCAAGGAGTTGGGACCTGCCCACACTCAAAACTTTAGATCCAGGGTCCTTTCCATATCAGCCCCTTTCCTCTCTGATCCTTGTTTTGCAGAGGAAAGTGCTGAAAGGGGGAGGAGGGGAGATGCATGGAAGAGAGGTCCCACATCAATCCACGACACTTGCAAGCATCCGTGTCAGAGGGAAGAACTAAGAACACCTCTGAGATAGACACAGATTCAAGGACCAAAGTTGTCTGCCCTGCCATCTGGCTGGATTTCAGAATAGCCAGGCAGCCATGGTGACCTGCTCCTCCACCTGTGGAGGAAACTCAGGCTATGGGCTCTGGCTGTGTGAGAAGGCTGAGGAGGCACAGGACTGACATGGCAGAGCCAAAGGCTGCCTCCCCAGCAGGGCCCTGAGGTCTGACCCAGGCCCACAGGAAGCATACAAGTGTCAGCCTCTTGAGCGGGAAGGGGCTCCCAAAGCCATCCCCTGGTCCCCTCCCTGTTCATTCCATGTGTATAGGAGGTGGAGGGTCAGGTCAGCCCCTCCCTGAAGGCTGTGTGGAGCCCAATGTCTTGGCTGTTTGGCTGAAATGAGGGCCTTCTGGTGCTGGAACCACTCCACTCTCTCAATCTTAGGGATTTTCTAAGATCAGAGAGAATTTGGGGGTGTTTGGGGGGAAGATTTCAAGAGGCAACCTGGAGCCATTGCTCACTTACTGAGTCTTCAGGTAGCTCAGGCCAAGCCCTGAGCTCTGTGCACATTTTCTGAGGGAATCCTGACAGCAGCCTCAGGAAGATCATGTGCTGACTTTTGTTAGGGAACTTGTCTGGCCTCATAAAGCCAGTAAGTGGTGAAGTCAAGATTCTAACCTGAGTCCCTCTGACACCAGAACAGAGCTCTTGCTTGCATAACAAAATTGCCCATGGCGCACAGTAGAGATTTCCAGAAACTATCTTTTCATTAATTCATTCATCCACCAAGTACCTACCAAGTGCCTGGCACTGAAGAGATGGAGGTGAACCAGGCAGCTAGTGTTCCTGCACAGAGCTAAGAGCTGTCTTTTCTTCAGGCCACACATGTCAAGGGCACCTTTCTGAGAGCCTCCTGGACATCTCAAGTCCCTGAACATTTCCAGATGCCTAAATCACAGTTCTCTTGTCTCCCTGCCTGGTTGGAATAGGTTTTCTCATTCATTCCAACCTTGGATGAAGCCAGCTATTCCCCAGAGCCCCAGCTGCTCCCCAGGGTCCCAGCCTGCAGAGAGCTGCCTACCAGTGAAGCTTCTGATTGGGTTGAGGGAGGCTCACAGACACTCCTCCAGCTTGTCTCAAACCAAGAACTGTCTTTGTTCTCTGGCACTAAAGGTTTGCACAGATTAGAGTCCAAGATCAGACACCCAGATGTTGAGAAGAACCATGGGGCTAATGAGCAGAGAGAGGAACAACCCACTGATTACAGGGTAGGCCTCAGTAGATGAGAGGGGACCAGCCTGCAGATCGCAGATAGGGGAACAGACACCAAGCCACCAGCAGGGCTTCGGCTACCTCACACCTCCTCATGTTCACGGAGCTCTGACCCAGCCCCTGCCCAGGTTCTGCTGCTGGGGCCTGGGCCCTAATAACACAACCCTGGGCCACAGCTTCAAAACCTGGAAGCCATGGGCATAACTAGGACCAAGCACATGGCAGCCAGACTCCCCCAGCTGTTTGCATCTATGCTGAAGCCTTTCAGAAAGGGGGATGGGGCATTACCAAGAAGAATCTCAGATGTTAGGGGTTCTAGTTGGCAGTTAACTGAATAGGTGACAATAGTAGATGTGAGGGGGCTCCACATGCCAAAAGGAAAAAATTCATACTGCCAGGAGTTCAAAGGATGGTGACATGGAATCACCCATTCACTCGGTAGGTATATACAGAGGGCCTGCTATGCCAAGGCCTCACCCCAGGCTCTGGAGTCCACGATGGTGTGGGAGGGAATGGGCCAGCAGAGTGGTCATCTGGAAGACTTGCATATCAGTTGTTGAAATATATCTAGTCTAGAGAAGAAAGTTCCCGAGGGAGCAGGACAGCTGTCCTCAAATATTTTTACGTGCTTTTGTGAGGGAGGGATGAGATTTTTGTGAAGAGCCAAAGGACAGAGTAAGAACTTTCTTATAATGAGATCTGTTTGATGGTGGCAGGAGCTGCCTCTGGATGCATTGTGTCCCATGACTTGGAGGTGTGCAAGCAAGGGGGTGACAACCAGGTCCCCCAATCTAATTCTGAAACCAGTCTAACTAACTCCTTGGAAGAACTGGGACCCAGGGATAGGGAGCCTCCCAGGGAAGGGGAGATTCAGAAGACTTGGCCCCCAGGCCAGGAGACAGGATGCTCCACTGGCCTCTAGAAAACTCCTGGGGGAATCATTGGGGGGCCCAAACACCTGGGGACCAGCAGAGTGTGTGACCACAGCTTGAAGTTAAAGGAAAGGAGAAGAACAGGTAAGTGATAGGAAGTGGCTCCAATTACTTGGAGTTTTCTTAATATGTTTTTTAGGCCCACGAATGCTTCAGCCCTGAGTAGCCCCTTACAGTAGTGTTCCTTACTGCCTTCAAACTCAACCTCCCCAGCTGGGGCTTAACGTGCTTCTCCCCTTTCTCTTCTATGCCCAGGTGGCCCACCTGCTGTTGCACCTGACAACCCATCGCAGCCTCCTTTCTGCCTGCTCCTGCCTCTGTCCCGCCCAGGATTCTCCCCCATTTGTGTCAGCCACCTCTGCCAGAAAGGCTTCCATGATGTCAAACCCATTTCTCAAGTATACAGGGAGGTCCCTGCCACTGCAGCTTGGGCTCCAGGCCCCCGCCCTGGTCCCGAGGGTCTGCAGCCCTCACAGCTGCCTGTAAATGTGTAAATGACATGTGTCTCCCATCAGCGTGAGAGCCTGAGATGGCAGCTCCCGGGCCTTGCTGTGCTTTTTGCCTGACTTCACGAGGCCAACCACACTGAGGTCTGAGACACTCTCACAGTTGGCCAACCAGCACGCCCCCTGAGGCAGGGACAAAAGAGGATGCTGGCTATGGGGTCGCCAAAGTCTTCTTTTATTGACAGGGTAACCAGTTTGTCTTGATTTGCCTGGAACTGTCTCAATTTTAACACCGAAAGTTCTGCATCCTGGGAACTCTCTCAGTCAGGCACAAACCGGGATGGTTGTTGCCCTAATTGAGCACCTGCATGTATAAGACACAGTGCTTGGCTCTGTGGGATCACAGAGGGAAAGCAGAAGAGGTTCTCCATGCTGGAGGCCTTTACAGCCCAAGGGTCCTTTCTGGAAAACTGAAAGTGAGCCCAGATGGCTTAGTGCCCCCTGCCTGCCCCCTCCATAGCCCCATTCTGCACTGGTGTGTGTTGGGTGAGGGATACTAGATCAATAGGCAGGTGTCTGGGCTGGCCTTGGATGAGCATGAGCCGGCAGGTCCTGATCCAGGGAGGTAGTACACTGGGGGATAGCCCCACTGCTCCATCCTCGCTGCCATCATTAACCTCAGGGTGCCTGGGCCCACTCGTCCACTCCTGCTCTTCCTTCTCTCCCACAGACACCCTCCTCACATCTGGAGATGGCTGGAAAAAGAGGCAGGTGGGCTGGCAGGGCCTTTTCACCTCAAGCTCCGCCATCGCCCTGTTCCGCAGACAGGCTCATAACCAACCTGCCCGCCTTTAGAAGCCGCCGGGGACCCCGCTTCTCTTCCCAACAGCACCACCTACTGGCCATAGAGGCACTCGCCTTCTGCTGAGCACACACAGCCCAGCCTGAGTCAGAGACAGCGCACACACAGGGCCAGCCAGTGCTGGGTGCTGGCGGAGGTAAGGGTGCAGGAACGTGGCATCTAACAGAGCAGGGAGGGAGGCTGTGTGTGCAAGACAGAGTTGCATTACCTAGGGTGGGAGCAATCGCATGATGGGTCAGAACATGGACTCAGGGATCAGACTGCCAGGACCCAAATCTAGACTCCGCCACCTCTGTTCTTTCCTTAAAATAAT